CGCAGGACCGTTTGATGAAAAGCAAGTAGCATCTGAAGGGACGGGGCGAACAATAGAAAGGTCACTTGAAACTGGATCGTGCTATTTGAAACTGGAGAGTGGCATTGTGCTGGAGGGGCGCTGTGACAAAGTTGTCCGAGGGGAGGGGGGTGGCGGTGGCAGGTGGGACGCTGGGTCATGTGTCGCGCCACAAAGAGGTCCAGATTCTGTCTTTTTTTGAAGACGACTCATGTGGAAAACAGGTGACCTAGGGGGGCCTCAACCAGGTAGCTGGGTAACCAATGGCAACATGCAACAGAGTGAGTCCTATGGTCCTCTACTGACAATGAGACTAGCTATTTTTGTTATCGCCAACAAGTAGGAACTAGAATCTTAAAGCTGACAAGTCAAGACCAACACTGCTTTTATTCGTTCGCGCAAACTTTATGATGCAATACACTCTTGTAATGCTGTAAATTCATGAATTTTTTAGGGGAGTTATTTCCCAGTAGGATTGAATTGAGGTTTTTGTTGTTTTAAACTTGTGGATGGAACTATACTGTAAGTTGTGTAACACAAAAACAGATAATCACTCAGTCAAGTCCATCTATAGTGAGAAAAAAAACCCACTATTTACAGTATGCAGAAACTTATATTAAGCACACCATTTTTCTAAAGTTCCAGCATTCGTATACACATTTCATCAGTTTGTCACACAGTTGCATAACAAACAGCAAGTCATCTTCTTACCTGAAGTTTCCACTTCACATTACTCTCCCAGGTACATCAAAGAAAAGCTTTCTGCTACTGTTTTTTCTGGCAATCTTTGCATAAAGTGTAGAATCATCAGAATAACTCTACAGTTAAATCAGAATGACATTTTCTTTGGAACTCCTACAGAAAAACACAGCTTTCAGTGCTGAAAATACTGAATGGCCATTGATAACTAAACAAAAACAGCATGTTACGATTCATCTTCTTCATACCTGATATTTCCACTTCACATTAGATTACTCTCTGGTACATCAAGAAAAGCTTTCTGCCACTGTTTTTTCTGGCTATCTCTGCACCACCATCAGAATAATTCTTCAGTCAAATCAGAATGACTATTTTTCTTTAGAACTCCTACAGAAAAACACAGCTTTCAGTGCTGAAAAGTAACTGAATGGCCGTTGATTACTGGCATGGCCCGCATTTGTTGACACAGTAGCTGTCAATCACAGTTAAACCATTAAGAGAACAACTTGTGTTTCCCCAGATAGATAACATCACCATTTAAACACCTCATGTTTCAAGCAAGAAAGTTGTTTGGAGAGGCTATGTGCGTACAAGGTATGCAACATTGTTACAGCCCTTTCTACTGTCATCTCCCCTTCGGTTACCGTGAAAGGACGCGGAAAACAATACCGATGAAAGAGACATGAATACGACAACCAGGGAAGACGAAGCGCCCGTTTTCTTCTCATTCAAAAGCTGCCATGGGTCAGGTACCTTTAGGAAACTACCTCAGGTTGAAAAGGTCATTGAAAAAAAGATTGTTACACTTACCTGGCCTCTGTTTCCATGTCAATGGAGAGCCAAGAAGTGAGGAGACAAAATACACAAGTCAAAATAACCTCACGGTGTCAGTTCACCACTGTCAACACTGGGACTGTTGGCATCACTGTAGTAACTATTTCGGTACCCTGGCTTTTCTGGCTATCCACTGAGACCCTTTCCCCGTGTTTTTTCACACAGTATTGCTTTAAAAAAAAAAGGACAGTTGATGACTTACTGCCAAAGTAGTGTATATCTCAGATCTCTCTAAGCAGAGACCAAGAAATTCAACCCTCTGATGCTAGCATACTGTAGAAATGTGAATTTTCCATACCCTTTTATCCACAGAGATGGTCATTCAGTCCAGATATTATTGGGGTCAGATCATTAGTTTGGCCAAAGTCTCCCTAACTCCACTCTACAACACTAGTAGTACACTACTGCCAGCTGAGATATGTCATCTGCCTTCTTATCAATCAACACCATACCCCACCCCTTTTCTCAATTCAATAAGCTCTGACTGGAAAGGATGTATTATTCATACTCCAATTCCCACCCCTATCCATCAAGGCAATAGAATACTCACAAGAGAAAGACTATGATAACAACCAAAGTCAGTGGAAAATCCGAAACAGATACATCTGCTATAGTAGTCAGGCACTTGAATAGGGAAAACAGATATGGTAGTGGCCCATACCTCTCTGAAGCAAGCATTACTATCATGCTTTGCTTTCATACATTTAATCATAACTATTGGGACTTAAAAATTCTACAAAAGTTCTACATAGAATAAGATCCACTAACCTTAATATACTTGTTTCCTCAGCAACTTGTTCCACTGCACTCACGGGATCTTCAATCTGGATGAGCTAAGTCTTAAAGATGTTTCCAGCCCTGAATGCTGCCTCTCTTACAGCAACATGGATACATCTAGCCTCCTTGTCAAAAGCCAATGTTTATCGAGCATCAGAGGCCTCAGCCCCAAGATTTGCGGAACAAGCAAAGTCCTACACCCCTTATTGGGTCATGGAGGGTACCTACATACTCAAGTTACCTCAGCACACAAACCGAAGTTTGCTTTACCCCTACTTTAATTAAGAATCCTTCTTGTAACGGATTCTGATGAGTGGGAGGAAAGTAAACTTGGCCCCACTGCCTTGGACTTGACAGGGTTTACAAATACACGTTACAGCCAGGTCCTCGATTGTTTTTTCAAGCCATGCTACACTATGTCAATACAGTACTTCTGTGGAAGGAGTATCTTCAATATCTTCAATAAGAGGCAATAACTCTTATTGAAGTCATATACCCCCCTCTGCGGCAAAACTCCCTCGAACCGATCAGTGCTCCCAAACAAATTAACACACCGCTGCATAAGTCTGGGAAGGAGGATTTTGCAAGTACATTCTTGCAAAATATTGTGTAAGAATTAAAAAATTCATACGAAGGAGTGTGTGTGACCACTGAAAAAAAAAAAACACATCACACATCTGCTGGCAGAATATGAATATACATGAATGGAAACAATATTTAAGTACAAGAAGTCAACATTGTCAGCCAACAATGTCTAATTCAAGAAAATACCATTCATATCCATTGCTGAGACTACAAATCTAACATTTCTCTGTTGAAGAATTCTAATGTTGCAGCTGGATCAAAAATGACCTCAACTAGTGCTAGTGTGACATTCAACTGAGAAGCCAACCGACTTCAGCTTTCTACAAATAGTTATGTGTGACGATCAAGTTGACAGAGAAAAGCCATGAATTTGTCAAATGTCAACACAGCAATGTACCAATTGTACCTCTAAGCTTCTTTTCCCTCAGTTTTAAGTTATTACAATTTGTTAAGTGTTAAAGTTTATTTTTGCCGTCAGTATTGCCGATTCCATTTATGCCATATAGCTACAATGTAGGCTGCGATAACGTTCGATATGGGCATTCTCGCCCGTGTGATAACTTGCGGTATCACACAGGGTCCTAAGGTTACTACCGTAGTTTAACATGGGCTTCCGAAGGTTCCATAGAATAATTTGAACACTTTTCGTGCGCATCTCTTTCGAAAATCCAGGTGATACAGAATGAATACACCTTGTGTTTCCAACCCGGTGTTAAATACTAGTAAAATGTTCTTGCAAATGCTGTACTGGGTGATCAATTTTTTTCTGTGGACAAAGCATCATTTTGCCTAACTCCTCAAGTTGCCCAGTATGACAGGAACACACTCATCCCTTTGTCCAGCTAGGCAGTCTGGTTGGTCATCCCCAGATGGCGCCCATGGTACAGGGAAGAGCAGGATGTGTCCTAGCCATGGTCACCAAGTCCTGCCTAACTCTGTATCCAGCACTGGGAATTCTTGACATTCCAACTCCCAACATCTGACTTCCATCATCTCTGGCCCCATTTTGACCCTTGCTTCTATGCCAACTCTTGGAAACAAAGTTTGTACTAGGAGTCATACTTCAAGCAACTCAAACAGCCTAACTCATCAACTAGCAATCCTGTGTTTAAAGTGTGACCAATCTTAGAGCGATCAATACCATTTTATTGACTGTTTTCCTTGTGCTGTGTGATGTGCCGTGAATAGCAATGCGAAAGACGCGCGGCTGCGTTGCCGAGATAAGAAAGGGCGTCCGAGTATTGGGAAATAATTAGGAGAGACGGTGAATAACATTTGCGAACGGATTTGATACCTATCTGTTGCGTTGGCCTGTGCAACACTGGCCGTACTGTTTTCAAACGGACGACAAAGACTGGCTAAGTTTTAGGTAAACGTAGCTAGGCACCTATCTCGTTTCTTATCGTGGTTTTGTAGCAAATTGTCCCAATTGTTTGCCAATCTACCGTAAGGCACTGTATATGTTTGCTGACAAATACAGACCCGACAACCTATGATCGCTTTACGGTATGCAGCTGGCCCGCTATGCCAACTCCAGTTATTCACGGTCAAGAAAAAACACAACCCCTTTTGACCCTGTGCATTTCTGCGAGGACTTATACTCCTCTACTGGTAACGGCAAATAAGGACTAGCTACCGTTCGCGCTAAGTTAACATGACTTTGTGATGGGAAAACATCATTGAATATGGATCGATTTCGTGGGAAAAAATATATACGATGCTGTTGCGTTTTCCAGAAGTTGCGATTCGTTCCATCCACGAAGAAAGGCAGGGAAAAAAGTAAACGGAAAGTGTCCCAACCCGTCCAAACACGCCACACATGGCACGCAGCCTTACCTGTCTTTTCCTGCAAGCATTTCTCGAGAAAATGCAAAGTTTACTGTGCCTGCAACAATCAGGAAGTGGTCGAGACTCGCGCCCAAAACCTCAAACCTCACAGGAGTGATAGTACTAGTATGTAAATTTCCAGATCTTACCCCAGACGCCAGTGGTCCATATTCCCCGTCACGCCCTTGCAATAGCCGCGTACCATTGGGGCGCAAGGTTTGGCGGGATGCGGGGAGTAAAGAGAGGGCGGGGACTCGGGTGACCCATATGTCAATTTGGGAAATAAACTGCAACATTGTTTCGCGGCCCGGTAGAATGTAGCGAGCATCGATCGGTTCACTGACTAGGAGCACTCTCACTCCGTGCTTACACGAGGACACAACTTTACTCTCACGCTTGGCACCATGCGCCTACTGGCAACCATCGTCGCTTCCCTAGCGCTGGCGGGACTCGTAGCAAGAGGTAAGCGCCGGGAATTTTGGGGTGATCTGCGGGGATTTTCTTGACGGGACGGGCTCGGGCGGGCGGCTGGCCTTGGGCCGGGGGCTCGCGACTGCCTTGCATCGGGTCGCGTGCTTGCTCACTTCCCCGGCTTGACAAGTCTCCGCTGCTGCTGTGTTTTTTGGTGGGCAGCGCAGGAAACAGATTACACGGTTACGATTGGACTTATTGCCACTCTTTTCTGTTTGATCAGAGGAAACACTCGGAATGGTTGAAACTTCCTCTCTCTACTTGTTGCATGCTCGTGTGAGATCTGAAACGACTGCACTGTTTTCGTTCGCGTAATGTCATGTGGGAATTTCGTTTCGGGGCCAGGACCAGTTGGGCCTCTGTCTGTGCCTTGCGCTCTGTTTCGCATCTGTACGGTGATCACAAACAGGATAATGGGGACAAGGAGGCGACCCACTCCAAACTGGAATGATATCTGTTTGTAGGAAGGACCGTTTGTCAAGAAAATTTCGTTCACGAACGAGAGAAAAAAACTTGCTCATCGCCCGACATGACCCCATAGTGGGCGGCGGTTGGCGTCGCCATAAGAAAAACAACACCACGATTTATACCCAAATCAGACCAGACGGGTTTAAATTTTGTCCTTGCGGTGTCCCCCCACTTAGCGATGGTTCCCAGGATTTTCTATATTTGTTGTGAAAGCATTTCGCTGTTTGCCCGTAACGCCAGAACCAGCGGGGATTTTTGATGGTCTTGCGTTTTTGTGTGCACAGCTTTTGACAATGTGTTTGCCTGCAATTTAGACGTGGTCAACATATACACACTTCATTTGCCAAAACCTGTCCAACAACGCGAGTTGTCAGCTCTAAAAACAACACAGAAACCTGGGTACTTGAGCGAACGTGGGCGAAACCAGCCGCCTCTAACCAAGTAACATCTCCTTTCGACTTTCTTTCACCTCAGTGCAAATATTTGAACAACAAAGGTATAATGTGAACAATACCTTTGTTGAGAAATTATATCCGACACTCAGGAAAGTTAATCCATTACCAAGGTGCGAAGAAAACTATGGAAATTCCATTACATATTTGTATGTGGCATTGGTTACAATTAAATCAGACATATAAACGGTTCAGGGATTAGTTCAATGGCCAGGCTGACTTGTGCAGGAAATGTACACCATGATTGCAGCTCTCTCCTTCTGCCAATTTCAGCAAGTCTTGTGCTCAATTTGGGCATTGTGTTTCAACTACCCTCCCCAAGACCTTTGGGGAGAAAAGTCTTTCAAATTTGTGTGCCCGACAAGTCTCGTTTTCCGCTCCACTTTGAACCTCAACAGGCCCTTCATTAATGCCCTTCAACACAAGTACCCTTTCTTTGTCCCCCCTGCTCTTCATCTGAATCAGAAAAGCATCGGACATTCCCCAAACAATGAGCCCATGAAATTGTCTTTTGCCGACATTGTTGGGCAGTCAGTGTTTAGAAACAGTTCACAACCCTATCAGCATTCCTCGTTGGAACCATAGAGTAGAAAACTGGCTGGGGATGTCCCCCCCTTTTTGGAGGGCTTTACTCAAGTCATTGTTATTCATAACACAAACATTACCGTAAAAAAGACACTTTGCTCTGTAATTGGAAGTCTTTCAAAAAGCCCCTTTTCACCGCCGAGCATCCTAAAAGCAGGAGGGGATTTTAATTAGAGCACGCCGTGGTACAGACATGTTTTGTTCAGCCCGAGAGGTCATTTTTGTAATTGCGGAGTTCAAGTTCGTCAAAGGTGTTGATAGATTGGGAAAGGGGAGACTGGCACTTTGGGACTGCAAGAGGGCGGAATGTCAAATCCCCCCAGTAGAGAGGGGGGATAGAGAGAGGCTCTGGTCCATAGGGGTACTGAATACCTGCGCGGGATTATCTAAATCACCTGAGCACCCTGACATTCTTGCTCCGTGCCAGGTGTGACGAGCCTCCCACGTGTGCGGATTTGCGGCTAAGTCCCCCACCTTCGATCTGGCTAGCAACCGCATCCACGTAGCATACTTTCTTCCTGGTAAAGGCAAAACACTTGGATCAACACGGGCCCGCTGAAAATAGAAAATATAAAGAAGGAGATTTGGGGCGAAATGGCAGCTCTTTTCCCCTACTTTTGCGTGGAAATGCTAGTGAGAACAAAATAAACAATTTCTATTTTGCTTAATTTTGAAATAGGCAAATCGGCCAAATACTGTAGTTATAAGAAAGTAGTACTACTAGTAGTACAGTCTTTGATTGGAAAATATCTGTCCTAATTAAATAGAAACAAATTTTACTTTGTGGCACTGCCTAAAGAATAAAGGGGCATAGTTTTTTTATTAGTTATATGGTCTGGTACCTTTACTTTGGATAAAAACAAAGTTTTATCTATAGCAGGATTTTATAGTCTTTTTACAACTAAATTGTATATTTTGGATACAGAGTGTTATGGGAAAGACTGTGTATACTATCAGGTTTGTTGTTATGATTGTATCTTGGGACATCTTTTTCCTTCATCTCTCCCCTCTTTCATCTCTAACGGATGTCGTCTGAAGATTTCTATCACAACATTTTGTGCTCAAAATTTACAAAGCCTTATCTATCTGGGTGGTACCTTTCGCAGCAGTCAGATTTTTCTCCGCCATATTTTGGCAACAGAATCAACTTAATGATAGTTTACATGCGAGCCCACTTAATGGATTGAAATGAAGTAGGAATTACTATCCAGGCTCAAGGTATATAACGCTGGTTACCCTTTGTTCACAGTTATCCTGCTATTGTTTTCACCAGACACAGGAAAAACACGAAAAGAAAAACAGAGATAAAGCTAATGCCCAGTTTTGGTGGTGTGGAGTCCAGGCCATTAACTGTCGATCAGTAAAAAAATGTCTCGGATTGTCTCACCAGGGGTCTTATCTGTAGGTGTCATCGTGTGGACTCACCTGTAATTACTTGCTGTGTTAATTGTAATGGATTGTTCGTATTACCTGTACACAGAGACTGCACAAATCCCAGTTTAACCCCGAGGGGAGGCCAATCCCCCTGTTATGAGCCGTTACTGCTGAATGCTTCTCCACCTACGCGGAACTCCACTCTCAGGCCTTTACTGGTAGATTACCTAAAGGAAAACTCCATAGTTCCTTAGCTTTTCTCCCCCTACACAGGTACAACAAACATCTCAGGAAATACAATGCCGAGCACTAAATCTGTTTGAAGAGCGTCAAGCTCCCTGTATCTACCACGAGAGGTGGTTGCTGTAACTGCCCGTCACTGCTCGATGCGCAAGAGTGAACTCCCTTCAAGTTTTGCAAACACGGCGTACATGGTGGGAGAAGGCTTGAATAGTCCCCCAACCACGGTGTTTGCCTTGCTGTTGACTGGTACACCTTGTGCTGACACTGTAAAGAGAGGGTGTTGTTATATCTCACTATGCAACTGTTACTACTGTTTGAAAGGATTTACTGAAGGTTTAAATCTCAGATTTATAAAACTTGAATCAAAATTTATTCTTATTTCCTATCACAATTCTAGAAGAGCTTCCAAAGTAACAAGTCCTTCATGCAAATCTCTAATTTCTCTTCGGCTAGTTAGAAAAGTTAAACACATTGACGTCTGCCATCTTTATACTAGGTGTAATTTGTTTATAACATTATAATTTTAAGAAAATCATCTAAGTCTATCCTTATTTTCTACTTTTGACACAATTTCTTTGAAAGAGCTAGCAGAAACAGCATGAGAAACATGATTTACAATTGACAATTACAAAGATAACCTGTGAGTCTTTCTATTTTGCTTGTTGTTTTTGCAGTACCTGTAAACTTTTGATGAACAGTTAATTTCCCAGAACAGTTCATTTCCCAGAACGTCCTCAGAAGTTATTTTGTTTGTGTGTTTGTTGTGTGACAAGGGGACTGGGTAGATGACCTGTGACTGGAGGGTGCATGTGTAGAAACAATCATCCTACATGTCCTAGACCCCAACATTTTTCCCTGCGTGGGAAAGCGTCCTTGTCACTCTGTCTCCCAGGAAACAGTATGATATGGATGTCAATCTCCTAAATAATGCGCTGACAAGGTGGCTGACTTTTTTAGTGCACAGCACGCCCGCTTGTTTTGAGCACATAGCAGGATACAGAAGACATCTGGAGGCTCACCTCTGGTGCAGTTGCCTCTGACCCCAGGTTTTCCCGAGACATGTCAGGAAGGGGTCAGGATTCCTTGTTCCTCAGGAGACTTTTGACTGCAACATGCCAACAATCCAGTCAATTCCACCCTGGGTTTCTCACCTTTCTGTTTGTCTTGGAACCTGGTGATATTATCTGTCTATAGCTTTTTGGCACTACCTCAAGAGGCAGTCTTTTGTAGGAGACAAACAAAATATTGTTTTGACCACAATAAGAAAGCCTTTGTCCAAATGCCCAAGCACCCACCGCTTGACTGGAGCGCAGTATGGTAGTTTTCCAGAGCACCTGTCTCTCTGGATCTATCGTTTTAAAAACATATTTAGGTGATACAAAACAGGTGCAGCCAAATGCTCCAATATCATCAAAAGATATGACAGATTCATTCAAAGTGACTGGAGACTGAAAGCTAGTTTTGACTGAGGAGAATTTCTGAAATCGAGGGGTGCCAACTGGGGAGTATTTATTTCATTAAAAGAATGCAAGCCCGATTCCACTTGTGTCCTTTGTCCAGGTTGAAGAAGAACAGGTGTCCTTATCATCAGTTTGAAGCACCACTTCCTCAGTTATCTAATCAACATTGTTTCAATTATCATGCAATAGGAGTTAACTACAATCTCTAGTGTGTTAGTAAGTAAGCCATTATAGAAAGTGGACTAAGGTTTGAAATTATCAGAAGAACTAGTACAGCTGATGTGATAACCCAAAATTTGGGGTCCAATTTCTTGTTCAATTTTGCTTCATATAGTATTCCAGGTATTTACTTTGGGTTTTGTCACCAAAGACAGACTGTTTCCTTAGAAGTTAGAGGTACTATAATTCCTAACATATTCTTTTTTTTTTGTCCACTTCCTCCTATGCAGTCTCTGCCCAAGACCAGTCCTTCAGACAGCAGCCCGAGTCGGTCGCGGTCCGGCTGGGAGAGACCGTGACGCTGACGTGTGCAATCGACAACGTGGCCGGCGTCGTACAGTGGACGAAGGACAACTTCGCCCTGGGTTCGGACCGCGCCTTGCCGGGGTACCCGCGTCACACCATCACCGGGGACCTGAACAGGGGGGAGTACAACCTTCTCATACAGGACGTCCTGCTGGAGGATGACGGCAAGTACCAGTGCCAGGCCAGCCCCACCGAGACGCAGGGAGGAATCCGCTCAGAGGATGCCGAGCTCACCATCTACCGTAAGTACATCTACATCAACACAATACAGGACAAAGTGCCTCACCAGCACATGGCGTCCTGGAAAAGGAGGTGCAGCTAGTGTGGCAGGTAGTGGTGCACGAAAAACTGTATGAATAAATGAAAACAAATAAAGTGCATAAAATGAAACTGAACTGTACAACTATGTACAACAGCCACACCAGGAAACAAAAAGATGGACCCTACAGCTGGGTGTTGGCGGGGAGGCCAAAGTGACTGGCCAACCCCGACTTAACAAGAGATGTGCACGATACGAGTATTTCCCCATAGGTGTGAGATAGCCGAAAAATGTGGCGATGTCTGAGAAATGTGGCGACGTCTGAGAAATGTGGCGACGTCTGAAAAAATGTGGCGACGTCTGAAATAATGCGGCGATGTCTGTCGCCGATCTGCCTGATTCATAGCCGACTAGCTTTGGTCCTGCGCGCCAAAGGAATGATGCCCTGGGCAAGTGTCAGACGCCATTAGATCCTCCTCTTTCTTCCCTCTCCACCACACGAGCTTTCAATCCCACCGGGCCATTAGGGTCTAGCTCGGAGCCCTCTCCATGAAACCCGAACCTTATACTTTTAAACTTTTGCCTTGGAAGTGACAGAGACAATGTGAGAAGCAGCCTGTTCTGGTTATAGCTTTCTGACAAATGGGAACAAATATGAGAAGGCAAGACAGAAGCTTCCCTAAAGCGATGCTCTGGGCTAGCTTTATCGCAACAGGAAAATTGGACCCGTCATCGAGAGGCAATCATCTCTACGAAATTCTGCTGACTTAGATGATGTCTTAATAAAAACATGCCCTTCCATCCAGCTTATAAGATTCATTGCATGTTATAAGCTGGACAGGGGCAAACATACTGTTATAATCACAGGGCAATGACTCTTCCAGCTACTTGTAAAGGGAGAAGGTGGTAAGCCACTACTCTCCAAGCAGATGTTTGGGTTTTGGCTTATTTTTGTCGCGATTTTAGGCTTTGGTATCTGGCTTTGTTTTTTGCACTGCCCTCTTTTTACACCAACCCAAAAAGATACCAGTAAATATGATTTACTTGACTAAATAGATATACGTGCGGAAAACAGAAAGCCGGATAAAAAAAGCCAAAAAATGTGCCAAAACCCAAACCTCTGCTCGGAGAGTAGTAAGCCACAGGCCAGGGCAGGTGTGGAGAGAGCTAATAACACAATGTTCCCACTTGTCTGGTAGGGGGAGTGTTAATGGCTCCCACAGAGATGCTCCATATACGGGACATTTTCTCTGAAAATAAGATCCGCGCCAGAAAAACATCATCTCGGGGGCTGCAGAAAGACTAGCCTATGTTGAAGCTAGTCCTGCCGAGCAGATGCACTTCAAGCAAGGCATGCATGCACATGTAGACAAAAGGTCCATGGTTCAGGTCCCACTGGTCCCAGGTTCAAGTCCCGGGAGGAGCTGGTGCAGCCAGTCTGAAGCTCCATGCTCAGAGGCAGGTTTAATTGTTGCCAGGAGGGGAGCGATGATGAGCTGAAACTGCGACCAAGGACCTCTCAGATATCTACTAACAAGTTGAGGAGACTCAACTTCTAGACGACACAACATGTGGGCTTTCTGATCTTTAGACCTCATTGTCTCTCCCGTGATAGATAAATCGCACAATTAGATGTGAGCCTCGCTGGGAGAATGAAATTTCAAGTAATGCGGTGCTTGGTGATGTTTCCCTGGCAACTGCTCTCCAAATAGCCTCTGGTTGCACGAGCAATTGCTTGTTTTGTAGCTGTTCCAGAGGGAAGAAGCCCCCACTGCTGCCAGATGCTCTGATCAGGGCTTTACTTGTGATGGCCAACCCCAAGCAAATGGCAGGTTTTCCTGTGATAAATGGGAAAATGGGATTTGGAACAGGGCCCTTATCTTGACCTGAGTCATCTGTAAACCAGGAAAGTCAGTCTGGGAACCTTTCCCACACCACAGCAAGTAACCCACACTAGGAAAAGGATGCAACGCATCTTGTATACATTTCCTCTACCATAGATTAAATCAGCTAAGTGGGTTGTCTGGTGGCCTGAGACAAAACCCTACCCTTTCCGGCCAAATATATTTGTACAAAGACTAAAGACTTTAAATCCTGTAAGGTATAGGTACAAGCCATCCACTGTCTTTCAAACAATAGTTTTAATCCACCTATGACCTACTTGTCCAAACTTCAGGCAAAAGTGTACAAGCGTATAAACTGCATAGAGGATTTAGGTTTTTTACTGCTGACTCAGAAATGGCTTTTCAGAATGTAATAATGACAGGAATCCGCAGGATCACTTCCACCCCATTTCAAACACTCGATTAGGCACTATCCTTCAGGATGTTTTAATTCGTATACTTGTTTAAAGCCCTGCCTGGCAGGAGACAATAGACAGGTAAGAGACTTGGGTGGCACAGGAAGGAGATAAGATACCATTCAGGATGTGCGCTGTTTTGTCACACTTGAACAGAAACAAACCCAGTGGTTTCTCCAATTTTCTCCCAACTCAGAGGGGAACTGGGAGCAATTATGAGGTGATGAAGCAATTCCCAGGGTGTCCATAAAGCAAGTCTTATTTATTGTTCTTAGATGACACAGATAGCAGGAGATGAGTAGAGGAATTATCCAGTAAATGTTCTGACAAATCTAAAACAGCTCCTGAGTGATGAGTCCTCATGCCTGTTTTTGTTGTGGCACAAAGAACAGGCTCTCAGAGAAAACCTGTAGGGATGTACAGGAAATAGCCCTTAGTACCCTATAGAGAGGATTGTATTCTAGATTTCTTGGCAATCCATGGCAATGGTGTCTTTGTGTTCAGGAATCCTAGCCTCCCAATGAAAGACTGAAGGGAAGGCTGTGAGGGTTGGGAGCTCAGCATTGGTGCCCACTGACCCATATGTGCAGTGGATAAGTAGAATCAAATTTGAAGAGGCACCTTTGCTCCAATGAAAGCTTCATCTGAGCCTGTTAGGTAGAACAAATTTTGAATTGATGTGAAACCAGTTGATGTATTAATCAGCTCAAAATGGCAATCATTGTATAAGCTATGTAAGCCTTTGACATGTTGGTAACATGGAACTAACTGTCATTACACCATGGAGGCTCAACATGTAACGGTTATTTTTCAGTACACTTTGGACTAAGAATACACCCTTTTGTACACCAACAGTTGTATTGTATGCCCTTGTTCACACAAGCCATCCGTGCCAAGTGAAGAGTTGCACACAAAACCTTCTCAATTATGAAACTTCTCCAGGTGTAAAGAGTACGGCCAGCTCTGTCAGCATGTGTAAGGGCCAAACAGTTTACAAGGGTCTTCACCTTTTTCCACAAGGGCCCTTCTTATATCTGGCTTCGCACTTTTCTCTTTTCTTGAAGAGGTAGCGGTTACAGAGTGTGATGTCTTGAGTGTTCTTGTGGTGTGTCTTGGCAGAGAAGAGGGCACATTCGATCACAGTGTTTTCCAGTGCTAACCAAACAATGGGATAAAGCTTTTCCCTCTCGCTTTGATCCATAACTAAAGCCGAAGCAAAGTTTTTACAAACTGGAGTAGGTAAACAGCACCGAGAGAGGTTAAGCATTGAAACAGAAGCAGCAACTGGAAGAAAGTCTTTTGAACGATGGATAATCTGCTGGCTTACTTACGTACATGTATTCCAGATGACCCTGACTGCTGGCTATGTGGTGAGACTGGTATTTTACATCCATAAATAAAAGGAACGCATGGCATACAAAGTTGTTGTTTGTCTTAATGCCACTTCAAGGAGAGGTCTTTGAAACAATTTGAGGCTGGTCTTAAATTAAAGTGTTTCTCAGGCTGTATGTTTAAGACATAATGTTACAAACTCGACCTCAGTAGACTTTGTCATGAAAATTCTTTGATTCACATATGTATCTAAGATTTTAAAAAGAAATAGGCAATTGGCTAGACAATGCGTTGGAGAATTTTTGGTGACCAGTTCTTACAGCAAAAGCCACAATCACCTCTGGGCTCTGTTGCTGTCAGGCAATTCAGCTTAGCCATTTATCTTGATGTCAGCTGGGAAGATGGATGGGTGCAGGAGGCATGACAGACTGAAGACTTTTCTGTTCATCATCATTGTTCTGCTCCTGTAGGAACTTCATTGAACGTCACCAACTAATGACGCACTCTAGCCTGTACATATTGCCTTGTAGATAAATCTTACGCATATGTTTGTTTAAACCCATCCAAGGTTGCTGCCTCATTTCCTGCTCATTTCTCGTCTTCCAGTTTCTGCAGGCCTTTTGTGTAAACCATGGTGAAGTTTATGCATACCAGAATTAATAGCAAGACTCTTCCATCCCTCTAGACCCAAGGTAGAGTGGAATATTGAAAGTTTATTGCAAATTCTTGCCCGTAGACTGATTGTAAGTACTGTACATATAACATGAAAATAAACGATGGACAACAGATAACAATATAGTATGTGACTACTCAGACTAGTCTAACTACTAAACACGAATTTTTAACTTATTGGGTTTGACTTTGTTTTTTTTTAACTACAGTATGCTGAGGTTTGAAAAAAGGAGTGATGATGATGATATTTGTCAAGTGACACAATGTAAAGACTATTATTTCCATGCCTATTTGATTGAATTAGACATGGTCTTTTTGCCTCGCAGGTCTTTTGTTCATAAAGTGAATTTAATCTGTGAAGCTGGCAGTGTAAATTGAAATGTCACTCTGTATAACATCACTTGGCAGGATGACTGTTATCTGTGTAAGCACATTTTCACTGGTCTCTCAGCCTACCAGAAAATCATTATGCCTTTTTTTTTCTTAGCGGGTGTGCGGTTACTATTTTGTTTCTTACTTGAAGTTGAAAGCTCTCAGTGCAGCATACATGTAGGTGGAAAATTAACTTGATTTAATGCTGCCAGAATTGAGCTGGAAGATATGTAGCATGACGGTCTTGCTTGTACCGTGGTTAGGTGATGATAAATATGAAGCTGGAGGGAGTGGAAAGAAGAAGTAGG